GTTTTTTGAACCCCCCCCCCCCCGAGTTTGATGCAGTGAGGAGTTACTTGGTGTCATTGATATCACCACATGTGCACTAATGATGCCTGAGTTCAGGACCAAAGGTCTCAGGGATAGCTTTATGGGAGAGGGTGTGTGCTACAAAGGCTGCTGGCCAATTGAGTGTGCCACTTCACCTCCTGGAGCCAAAGGGAGCACTTTAAGAGGAGGGACATGAAGGGAAATGGGCCAAAGCAAAGGCAGGAGGAACATGGAAACCCATTCCTGACAGTCAAAGTGCAGAGGCGATGAAAAACGCCTCTCTTCCTTCCACACCCAGCCTCCAACCCCCCTTCCATTTCGGAAAGTTTGAAGCATGCCTGGAAAGCTGTTTTCTACTTTCTTCTCCCCCCGCCCCTTTCCAGAGCTCCCAGCTGCTCGACCTCTTGCATAACTGTGAGAGAGCACTGAGTTTTTTGATGGGCTCCAGATGTGGAGTGGGATGAGGGTGGAGGGGTAGGGGCGATAGGTCTTTAGTCCCTTGAGTACTCTTAACTGTGGGAACATAGAGGCTGGACACAGCAGGAGATAGGACACATTGCAGAGCCTTGATCATGGAGTCAGTTGGTCCCTGGGTTGAGAAGACGTGAAGCAGAGTTAGGTGCTTTTTTAACCCCCTGCCTCAGCATCATCTGGCTCTGACAGGCTTGATTACCACTTGACATTCCTCCTGACCAAGTCAGTAAAGAGGAGTTGGAGGTTAAGAAACAGAGGTAAAAAATCTGAGATACCCCAATCTGAGCCCCTCCTTGAATGCTTGGTCTTGGCATATGGAACATGAGAATTTTGTTTTGTTTCTGACTTTTTCTTCCCCAAACACACCAGAACAGCCTGAAAATTACTGTCGTTATGTGCCTCACAAAGGCTGGCCAGAGTTAAAATTCTTCCATGAGCCTCAAACAGAATGAAGAGAGGATGAATATGAGGCTTGCCCCCCAAAACTTGGGGCTTCCTGGTAATCACGGTGTGCTGGATCCTGTTTGTCTCTCCTCCTGTAGCTGAGGCAGGTGGCAGCAAAGAACACCCTCTCCCCTCCGCCCTCTGTCCACTGCTTGGCTGCCACCAACTCAATTGCCAGCTGTGGGGGGCCCCCTGCTAGTGCTGGTCCTGTCAATGAGTGACCAGATTCCTGCAGTTCACCCCCTGCTGTTCCTGGGGTAGGGAGAGGGGGCATAAACTAAAATCACTGGATCAGAACAGGGTTTGTCCGACTCAAAGGACAAAAGCAGAGGACATTTTAAAAATTTCTAAATTTTTTTGCTACCTAACCCAACTGGAATTTAGGCCGGATTTGGGAGCTTTCTACTTTTGTGAGCAAGAGCCTCTGCTAGTCCTTTAGTGCAAGCTGAAGAAGACCAGTCTTGTTGAGTTCAGCTCCCTGGGGCCTCCCAGCTGGTCTCCTGGGGCAAGAGCTGGCTTTGCACAGTAAGGATCCACTGTCAGCTTGGATTTCCAGGTGGGGGTTGAGGTGAATGATTTTAACCAGGCTGGGTTTATAGGTGGCTTCCTTCTTTTCCTTACTACCACTCCTCAGCCAATGTGCTATGTGTGTCTCTACCCTACCTCCAGCTCTCAATCTGTAAACCAACTGGTCTGTGATGGAGGTGGTGCTAATAGGGCAAGGAGGTTAACCCCATTTAGCTTTCCTGGGTCCTAAAGGTTGCACAGCACTTTAACGTGCCTTCTTGTTAATTTCTGAAGCCTGACGTAGTTATTAACTCCATTTGCAGCTCTTTCTTTATGACCAGGCTTGAATAAGGGAGGAGAGAGACTGTCAGGGGAAGGACCTGGGTGCTCTCAGTAAATACTGAGAGTCTGTGGTAGGAGCCAGTAGAAGATTCAGGCATCTAAGGAAGGAGTGATACGGAAGAGCCTCAAGGCCTAGAGTGGAGGGTGGTCTAGGAGGGTCCGGAGGGGCGGGCAGGGGAGGGTGTGTGCGGTGGTGACCGCAGGGGTGGTGGAGAGCCCAGCTGTACAGACGAACAAAGCGGGCGCTGTGGGAAAGGCTGGGTGGGGGACCTTGGGCTCCAGCCCCACAAGGGCGTCTTCTCTGGCTGGCCAGGCGGACAGGACGGGGGTGGAGGCGGGGACTTGGGGGGAGGGGGGCAGGA